TAATGTCACATTGGAGTCGGCGTGTATTTGTGGAATAATAGCCTACCAGCGTAATTTTAGCACAAGGGTGGCAGCAAGAGCTGCGCACGGAAATAGGCACGCGACGACTGCGAGAAGCGGTCCTGACGGCCGGCCGGTACTCACTCCTTGTTCTCGGCGCGATGGTACTCCAGAATGTTGTTCAGGATGCGACCTTTCAGATCCGTGATCAGCTGGTTCACGCCGCGCACGAACTCGTCCCGGTCCAGTCTGCGGAGGGACAAACATTTCCGAGATCGGCCAGCGCCGGCACGGCGCATGCTTAGGCACAGATCGCCAGTCACAAACTCGTCCCGGTCCAGTCTGCAGAGGGACAAATATTTCCGAGATCGGCCAGCGCCGGCACGGTGCATGCTTAGGCACAGATCGCCAGTCACAAACTCGTCCCGGCTCAGTCTGCGGAGGGACAAACATTCCCGAGATCGGCCAGCGCCGGCACGGTGCATGCTTGGGCACAGATCGCCAGTCACAAACTCGTCCCGGTTCAGTCTGCGGAGGGACAAACATTCCCGAGATCGGCCAGCGCCGGCACGGTACATGCTTAGGGCACAGATCGCCAGTCAGAAACGAGGTGTTTGTGCATAAAAAAGATTTTGCCCTGCTACTCTGCACGAAAGCCTACCGTCAAAAAAAGTTTAAGCATCTGCATGTTTTACGTTTCCGAGCAAATGTCTCTCACATCAGTCAAGCAAGCTGGATAACTGTTACGTTGAATCCTCTGAGGTCACGAATGCGCATGCAAATCATTTGAAACCCTCCAAAATGTGTTAAAACATCTAGACTGTTGGCCTTCGGTTATGGAAATGGTTAAAACCAAACATCACTATTGAAATTTTCGCGACAGTCTCCACGGTTTTTCAGTTGAGGTTCGTGTCAACAAGGGCCACAAACAACTCTGCTGCGAGCACTCAGTGTGTATGACCACAGTGCAAGCCTTGGGAGGTTGCACAGCCCCTCTCAGCTGCTCTTCAGCGCACTGACCGGACATTTTGTACGGCTAAGCGACCAGCTCCAATGCACCTGCTTTTTGCAGCAGTCTTCGTGCAAACTAGAAGAGCTAGACCGTGCAATCTCAGTTCATGTACAAGTATCCGGTTTCTTACTAGTGAATCTGTGCCTAAACATCCACACACTGAACGGACATTTTGCACGGGCATTGCACGGGTTCTAATCTATTCCATCATACTGCGCTGCCTATTCCATATTCCATTCCATATTCCATATGGCCTATTCCAGTTTACCGCACTGTATCTAAATTCGGGCAATCAATCTACCTGCGGCAGTGGAACTGATGATTTGCGCGCAGTGTCGTCTGATGCTTTCGTGACTCGCCTCAGTTTAGCTGGTCTCGTCACTTCTCTGACTCTTCACTCGTCTAGTCTTACTATGGATAGGTGCACCACAAGGACACCCTACATGTCTGGCTAACAACACGCACCGTAATCTCGTCGGTGATCTACCCCGAAATAAGCTTACAAGGGCCTCTTCTGACCGAGTAAACACCGTGTGCATTGTTTATGCTGCCTGTTATGGCCCACGTTGCATACATGTGCTAACTCCGGGCCAACTCGTTCAGCTTCTCTACACCAATTAGCTCTACTATAACCAAGCGAGACTACTGCGCGTTGCAGTGCACTTGCACAAGTTCGTCCCTCAGGCATTGTAGCTGTGGTGATCGGAGGTCGCCTTGACAGAACCTGATCTAGACTGCTGTTAAGAACAGAGGGACTGCTTGGCCGACTTTTGGAGCTGGACAAATGCTGCAAAAAGATTGCTGGCAGCGCAAATGTACTGTGGTAATAAACGTTCACAGCAGAACAGTGAATGTAGCATCGAGACGGATCAGACCCCCGTTTCCCGTCCCACCTCACACTCTCACACTCTCACACTCTCACTCTCTCACACTCTCGCTCTTTCCCTCTATCTCTACGTGTTTTCATAATCATTTTAATCCCATCAGCACACCAATATGGTTCAATTAAACTCAGATTAAACCCCGAGATAGAATGCAAATTATCCACTCAGATTACGGCTTAAAACTATGAGGGTAGCACGAGCACAGGTATGCAACGTAAATAGGTTCCTTTTTACCTCGTACAGTTTCGCACAAATGCATTAAATCAATCCGGTTGAGCCCTTGCCGCTTTAGAGACACCGGAGGATTTCAGCGAAGATAAGCTTCCAGGGTTCCAGAAATGCCGTTAGCCGACGGCCAAAGACACCCATAAAATCCTCGAAGCAAGCTTTCTTCCTCCCCGGTCCCACTCCCGCCCACGTCGCCGTCCAGCAGCTGACCTGAACATGTCGAAGTACTCGATGGTCTCCATGCGCGCCAGCGACTCGATGTGCGGGTCGAAGCTGGCCACGAGCTGCGTCTGCTCATCGAACGTGTGCTCGGCCGCCAGAAAAGTGTCCAGCTCGTGGTCGGCCTTGTCGCTCAGCAGGTAGTCGTACTGCTTGGCTGGCAGAGGGAGAGGGCAGGGAGCGCGCGTCACATAACGTCAGTTCTGGAGCGCAGCATCGTACCGAGCCACACCTGCCCTCGCCCACAGACGTACGTCAGACGGCAGGCACCGGCACACGGCACAGGACAACGACCAGGTAAGCCCAGCGGCTGGTCCGGCAGACGGCACACAACAGCCACCAGTAACTCTGTTAGACGGCAGGCGCCGGCACACGGCACAGGACAACGACCACGTAAGCCCAGCGGCTGGTCCGGCAGACGGCACACAACAGCCACCAGTAACTCTGTTAGACGGCAGGCACTGGCACACGGCACAGGACAACGACCACGTACGCCCAGCGGCTGGTCCGGCAGACGGCACACAGCAGCCACCAGGCCACCAGTAACTCTGTTGGACGGCAGGCACCGGCACACGGTACAGGACAACGGCTAGGTGAGCCTAAGGGCCTGCCGGGTCTGCCTCAGTGCGGGCAGATGGCACACAACAGCCACCAGTAACTCTGTTGGACGGCAGGCACCGGCACACGGCACAGGACAACGACCAGGTAAGCCCAGCGGCTGGTCCGGCAGACGGCACACAACAGCCACCGGTAACTCTGTTAGACGGGAGGCACCGGCACACGGTACAGGACAACGGCCAGGTGAGCCCAGCGGCCTGCCCGTCTGCCTCAGCCCAGCAGATGGGCCACAACAGCCATCAGTAACTCTGTTGGACGGGCAGGCACCGGCACACGGCACAGGACAACGGCCAGGTGAGCCCAGCGGCCTGCCCGTCTGCCTCAGTCCCGCAGATGGCACCACAACAAGCCGCCAGTAACTCTGTTAGACGGCAGGTACCGGCACACGGCACAGGACAGCGGCCAGGTGAGCCAGCGGCCTGCCCCGTCTGCCTCAGTCCCGCAGATGGCACACAACAGCCGCCAGTAACTCTGTTAGACGGCAGGCGCCGGCACACGGCACAGGACAACGGCCAGGTGAGCCCAGCGGCCTGCCCGTCTGCCTCAGTCCGGCAGATGGCACACAACAGCCACCAGTAACTCTGTTAGACGGCAGGCACCGGCACACGGCACAGGACAACGAGCAGGTGAGCCCAGCGAATGGTCCGGCAGACGGCACACAACAGCCACCGGTAACTCCGCTAGACGGCAGGCAACTCTTGTGGTTTGTGAATAACCAGGTGCATGGCGGCTAACCATGCTCGAGTTCAATTCTGGTTAGATCAGTCTTCAGTGGTGCCTCAGACTCGCGAAAGCAGTGCAGAATAGAAGGACAAATTAACCCCCGCATGAGATAGGGCATCAGAGCGCCACCCTCACCCACCCTCAAAAATTTCCGGAACCAGGTCTGAACGCTTTTCCGGCACCTGCAAGCACGGTGCCGAAAGGCGTCCGTGGGTAGTGGGTAGTAGTAGCGTAGGTGGGTTAGCATCATTTTACACATTTTGTGGGACTTTGAAGTTTCTGGGTTTGACGGTTCCTGTTCTATGACCTTTTTCACAACGCCATGTCGAGGACATTGACTCAAAAGTGCCAAATGGCTTATATTTTTCGCTGGGAATACAGACCCAGTATATTTTCCAAACCCCAATTCTTATCTCTAAAATTTAAGTGCGCTTTTTTCGTTCTTATGACGTTAGAAAGACAGGTCACACATACATGGTCAAGCAAGGCCAAACTTTTACCTTTGTAACCTGTCGGAATTATGGCTCACCGTTGCAATTCCGATAATAAAACATGAAACACAGGCGGGTTTGCATTCAATACCTGTGCACTTATTGCAAACACTGTTTCTGCAAATGCTTGTTGCCCACCGCTGTCTTGCCACCTTCTGTTCAACTACCAACGAGAAATAATACCACAAATACGCTAGGCGTGTATTGCCTAGCATTATGATCATGCTCACTGGTTACTAGTAGCTACCTTATGGTTTTCCAAAAGCTAATCAACACCCTCTTCCGCATCGTCATACCGTGACCGTTTTCGAATCAAGATGAGTGGGCCAAGGAAGTGCTCATTTGACCATTTTGACCTAGTTTAATCCATCCAGGGACACAAGTAGCATTGTTTAAACACTCATCTGACTCAATATGACGAGAGATTTACAATGCCGTTTTCTGCGTGACTCGAGCTGGCTTAGTTTTGATATCTTAGAGGGGGAGGGGGCGTCGCTGGGGTCTTCTATCGTAAGGGGAAGGTGAAAAAAGACTTGCGCAGGGCTGGGGATGCGAGTGATTTCCACCCAATGTGGACCCACCACTCGTATGTCAGCAATACAAACTTTTCTTACGTCCGCCATGGACAAATAAAAGACAGCCTCGGGCCGGAGTGCGGCTTCAGTTAGCATAACACCCTGCGGTATGCATTCACGCTGGTACGCTATAGCAACTCTGCCATCATATGCGCAATTAGGTCACTTTGATTATGCATGACCGCACAATTTGCACATCAATTTTTATTTTCGCTGCATATTATTAGATATTTTGCACCGTATTAGGTACGTAAACTGACGCATGCACACGTCAATTTCACTGACTTGTATCCTTGCATGCGCAACACGCTGACACACTGACCGATTTTACCGCAAGCAAAACAAGCGGAGTTACATTGTTTATTGTCGGTGTAACATGAAGATTCACCGAATCGGACCGCCCGTGGGGAATGCCTCGTGAGTCACGTGACTCCCGCACATAAACCAGAACCTCTATCACACTTCAGTGTTTCCACGCACCCACGCACAGCTTTTTTTCAAACCCTTCCGAATAGCTCGGAGCCTCGATTTGTGGTAGCCATTCCTGCGAGAAAATCTCGTTGGACTATCGGCTCACCACAATGAAAATAGTGCATCTGATTTGCCTTGATTTTTCCGACATGTGTGCTCTTTAAGGTTTGCTACACTTAAATTTGTCAAAATGCTTGCGTAGCAGGTTCTGTAAAAACTTGAAACACTGTTTAGACAAAAAGAAGAGCGAACATGGAACTATTATCCCGGGAATTCGCGTTATATATACCGTCGCGAACGCAACGGTATATAATGGGCTTGATTTCTGCCCTAACGGGGTTTACCACAGGGGCTCTTTCGAGGCGCACTACGGCTTTGGGGCACTACCTTATACCTGGTACTGTTATTAGACTAACTGGTCATGAGGTTCCACCAAGGTATGTTTCTGAATTACGCCCAAAGGTGGGAACGCCGGGCGTGCTTCGAGGGCGCGTGACGCTCGGTGGTGCTACGGGCGGAAGGTGGGAGTGTGAGCCGCCGCCCGGCTGGGCCACTGCCAGACGTTCGTGAAGCAGAACTGAAGGTCATCACCTGAACGATAAATGGTCTTGATTAGCACCGTAGCACTGACATAATTGCCTGCAACGACACGACGCTTGGCTGAGAAGCAAGACCATGCAGGTTGAGGTGATTTGTGGCAAACCAGATTCCGAAACGCTTTAACGCGGGTGCGATGTCTGGGAAATCGTGTGTTGTAGTGGTCGTACATTTCGTTGGCACCGTTCTGCAGGATGGGCGTGCCTGTTAGCTTTGTTTTGATGGAATTTATGAACACGGGTTTCCTTTTTTAGCTCCCATTTCAGACATATGAGAAACATCTTTCAAGCCCCCGGCATCGGGCTTCCCAATCCAGGCGGCCGAGCTGCTGACGTCTGCCACAACAACCTCTGAAATTGGGATCAGGGGAGCAATTCAAAATTACTAGCGGCGATGGAATAAGAGCTTTTGCATCAAGTGCAATACTCAAATTGCATGTGTTCTGGTGTGCATATATCCAATTTGTAATGTATATATATATATATATATATATATATATATATATATATATATATATATATATATACATATATTTAGGGGCGTGGGAACTATGTTCAAATCGAGGGCATGCTAAAAGATGCCAAAATGGGCTTCTGAGATTAGATAGTGGGGCCCCATACAAGCTCGAATGGGCAACTTACAGTCAATAATGGACCCTTCATGGATCAGAGCTGGACCCAAGCAGATAAGAATGGACCCTCTGCAGAACACAATAGGCCCTCGATAGTTAATAATGGGTCCTCTGCAGGCTAGAATGGCTCCTCCATGGCACAGTCAATAACGGGCTCTCTACTGGTCGGAATGGGTTCTTTAGAGGCCAGAATGGGCCCTTCTCAACCAATATTGGCACCTGTATGCCCCAGAATCGTCACGTTTCAGTCAGTAACGGACCCTCTGCAAGCCTGAATGCGCCCCTGGACATGCCAGTATAGATCGTCCACAGTCGGTAAAAGACCTTCTACAGTTCAAAATGAACCCTCTTCAAGCCACAATGGGCCTTCCACAGGCCCAAATTGGACGCCCACGATCGATAATGGGCCTTCTACGAGCCTGAAAGGACCCCTGCACAGGTCAGAATGAGTCATGCTCAGGCCAGAATGAGCTGTCGACAGTCAATGATGGAGCCTCCTCCACAGGTAAAAATGGGCACTCTACAGCCCAAAATGGACCCTCCAAAAGCTAAAATGGGTCCTTAAGGGCTAAAATGTGCTCTCAACAGGCCAAAGCTTTCCCTCCAGTCAATAATGAGCGCCTGTAGATCAGAATGGGCCTCTAGAGGACGGAGTGGCCCCTCCGCAGTCAACCATAGATAAGCTATGTACCACCCGTACCGAGCATATGCACGATATGTGCCTTAAATTGTGGTAAGTGATTGGCATACTACTCTGTTGCTGCTCAATTGTTGAAATTGGTAGCTCCATCACAGGGCCTACGAACTCAGGCCTCGGTTCTCAGCCTTGGCAGTCGCTTATGCCCTGTCTGCCCCATCCCATGACTGTGCTGCACGTGTTCGAACAGTTCAAGCAGCATGACTGGTTCGCCGAAGTGCGCGCTGGAGTGTGCGCCGTGGGCATTCATATGTGGTGTGTATGAATGCCCACGCGCTCGAGTGTGCGCCGTGTATTCATATGTATTCATATATTCATATACACACACACCCAGCTAACAACCGCAGATATTTA